CACAAATCTTTCCTGCAGTGGAAATTATCTGCTCAGGGTATAAAACTTGGGGACACTTGGGTGGCTGCTTCCTGGTGGCCTTTCCGCCAGCTGGAAGCAAGTCCTGTCTCCAAGTGTCCCCAGGGGAGCCTGTGACCTGGGCAAGACTGTCCAGGGCCCGCAGAGATGGAGGAGCAAGGGGTGAGGGAATTTCGGGAACATCAGGGAAGGTTCCAGGCCATGGAGCTGGCGAGTCGGATGGTCCCCCCAGAAATGCCATGAAGTGCAGCTGAGCCCAGTGGGAGACACACATGCTGGAGCCCGGTGTGTCTTAGAGCAGTTGCTCAGCCGGCACTATAGGACAGCAGGTAGAGCTTACCTTGCACAGTGACTGACCTGGGTTCTGAGTTCGATCCCCAGCACCGTACAACGTCCCCTGAGCCCCACCAGGAATAGGCCCTGAGCACAGGACCAGAAGGAAACCCTGAGCACCTCTGAGGGTGACACCCAAAATGAAAAACTAAAGAGGAAGGTGCTGGCCAGGAATCCCTCCTGGGCCTGACCCCCGACTTCAGCCAAGGTCCTTCTTGCACCTTTCAGCTGAGAGACTGTCAAACTAGACACTGTCCTCAGTGAGGGCCTGAGGGCAGAGATGAAGCATCAGCTGGGAAAGATGATGTTAGGGCCCAGAGACGTCTTGGTGAGCTGAGATGCTGGTCCAGCAACTGAAACAAATCCACAGATTCTGGGGGTGGCGGTGGATGGGGGTGTGAGAGCTTTCATTGAACAACTGGACCCCAGGGGTAGAAGAGAGAGAAAAATGGGGAGTATAGCTTTGCCTGAGGGTTTGATTAAGATTAGGTAGAAACTCGGATAAACAGAGGCTGCAGGTCTTGGGTGGGGCTGGGTGGGGCAACCCTCTACCTCTTTCTGTGACTCCCTTGAGCACCTCTAGGGTGGGTGGAGCAGAGGGGAAGGGATTCGGTGGCAGCCTGGAGACAGTGGCCTTAGGCTGGGGCTGTGTGGAGGGGCCTGCATTTTTCCTGTGTAAAGGTGGTACACGGCACCAACGGTACCATCTTAACCATCTTTCAGTGCACACAGTTCTTGTGGGAAGTGGAGGCACATCTGTGTGACTTCAGAACGTTTTCTTGTCTTACAAAACAGAAAGTCACTCATTCAACAGCACCCCAGAACGGGTGAATGTGATGTCAGCTAGATACGGTCACGGTCACGGTCCTCCCGTTGTTCATCGATTTGCTCGAGTGGGCCCAGTAACATCTCCATCATGAGACCTGTTGTTACTGTGTTTGGCATATCGAATCCATCACGGGTAGCTTGCCAGGCTCTGCCGTGCGGGTGAGATCCTCTCGGTAGCTTGCCGGGCTCATATTACCTTTATTCGTTGATCTTCTAGGCCACATCCAACAGTACTCAGGGATTACTCCTGGCTCTGTGCTCAGGGATCACTACTGCGGTGGTGGGGGGGACCATATGGTGTGCTGGGAATTGAATTCAGGTCAGCAGCTAAGAGGCAAGTGCCCCACCCTCTGCACTGTCTCTCCAGCTCTGGGAATCTTATTATCTTGATAAAGGTGATTTGAAAAGGACCTCAGACTGGAGCGATAGCACAGCGGGTAGGGCGTTCGCCTTACAAGCGGCCAACATGGCTGACCCGAGTTCGATTCCTCCGCCCCTCTCGGAGAGCCCGGTAAGCTACCAAGAGGATCTCGCCCGTACGGCAGAGCCTGGCAAGCTCCCCGTGACGTATTCGATACGCCAAACACAGTAACAACAAAGTCTCACGATGGAGATGTTACTGGGCCCGCTCGAGAAAATTGATGAACAACGGGAGGACAGTGACAAGGACAGTGACAGTGACAGAAAAGGACCTGGGCCGAGCCATGGAACAGCAGGTAGGGAGCTTGCCTTGCTCATGGCAGACCTGGGTTGATCCCCAGCGTCTCTGGAGCCCTGAGTGGGGGTCCCACGAGTGATCCCTGAGCCCAGAGTCAAGATTAAATCCTAGCACTGCCAGGTGTGACCCCAAAACAAAAACAAAACAAAACAAAAAAATGAAAGACATCAATTGAGGCTCCATAGGAGCTCCCCAAGGCCCACCAGGAGTGATCCCTGAGCAGAGTTGTCTGTGCCTCTTGCCCCACAAAAAAAGGAAAGAGATTTTGGGGGCCAGAGGGATAGTACAGCAGGTAGGGTGTTTGCCTTGCAAGGGGCCAACCCGGATTCAATCCCTATTATCTCATATAATTCCCCAAGCACCACCAGGAGTAATTTCTGAGTGCAGAGCCAGGAGTAACCCCTGAGCATCGCTGGGTATGACCCAAAAAGCAAAGAGATTTTTCCGAGTCAGAGAAAGAATATAATAGGTAATGCCTTGCAAACAGCCAACATGGGTTTGATCCCCAGCACCCTGTATGGTTCCCTGAGTACCAGCAGGAAACCCCGAGCACTCCTGGTGTGGACCAACTACAGCCCCTCACCCCCCAGAATAAAGAAAGAAAAGCCTTAACAAGGTTGCACCCTGCAGGCCCCAGCGCTGTTTCTAGGTGTGGCTGGAGCACCATCGGTCTGAGGGACTCTTGGATCATTCTGCTATGCTCACATCGAGTGCCCCCCTCTGCCCACAGCACCACCATGCCAAGGCCAACCTGGTCCTGAGACCTGGGAGTCCATGGCGTGGTGTCTGGTCCCTGATCGCCCACAGCACCACCATGCCAAGGCCAACCTGGTCCTGAGACCTGGGAGTCCATGGCGTGGTGTCTGGTCCCTGATCTCTGAGGCTAGGCTGTGTGACCCCGGGAGAATCTTCTCTGGGCCTCTGGGCCCTGGCCTGCCCTCCCCTAGCGTGCTGTGCAGTACAGAGGAGCCTTCACACCTACACAGGGAGAGTCTGGGTCTCCCTCTGATGGACAAGGACCAGGTGGAAAACCTGACGAAGATTCTTGTCTGTCTGTCTGTGTGTCTGTCTGTCTCTTGAAGGGCCACACCTGGTGATGCTCAGGGCTTCTCCTGGCTCTGCACTCAGGGAGCACTGCTGGGGGTGCTCAGAGGACCGTATGTGGTATCAGGGATAAAACACACAGGAGCAGCGCCCTAACTCCTAGCTTAGCTCTCAAGCCGGGGGCAGCTGCGGGCCAGTTCTCCAAGGCCTTTCCCCAGTCCTGCTCTGGCTAAACAGTTCATTGGGTTTGAATGAACTGTTGGGGTTGCTCCTGGTGGTGCTCAGGATAACATGCAGGGCTGGGGTCAGACCCGGGGGCTTCCCACTTGCAAAGCACACACACTAGTTGCTTGCGCTTTCTTCCCAGCCCCAATAAAGAGATTTTTTGTTTGTTTGTTTGTTTTGCTTTTTGGGTCACACAGGGGTTACTCCTGGCTCTGCCTCAGGAGTTACTTCTGGTGGTGCTCAGGGGACCATATGGGATGCTGGGAATCGAACCCGGGTTGGCTGCGTGCAAGGCAAACGCCCTACCCGCTGTGCTATCGCTCCAGTTCCGAGAGGTGTTTTGTTTTGGGCTGGAGCGATAGCACAGCAGTAGGGCGTTTGCCTTGTGCAAAGCCAGCCCGGTTGAGCCGGGTTCGATTCCTGTGCCCCTCTCGGAGAGCCCGGGCAAGATACTCTCGGTTGAACACACACAGTAACAGGTCTCAAAATGGAGACATTACTGGGCCCGCTCGAGCAATCAATGAACAATGGGAGGACAGTGACAGTGGACAGTGTGTTTTGCAGTGCAGGGGACCAAACCCAGGGTCTCCCTCACACATGCAAGGCATGGCTAAGCCACAGTCCTGCTCCCCACGTTTGGTTTTTGTTACTTGGGCAAGAGGGTAAGAAAACCCCCTCAGACACTCAGGCTCTCTCTGCAGCAGAGAAGATACTGGGGGTTTCTGTGAGGGCACGGAAACTCCCGGCATGGTTTCTCTCACGCTCTGGACAGGGTGGGGAAGCCTGTGGAAGCATCCCTGTGTCTGGTCCTCATTGTCCACCTTCACACCTGGCATGGACCAGCGCTTCATCCAGGCAAAACCGCCTGGTGCCAAGTTCACGGTGGGAGGCTTGGACTTCAGACAAGTAAATGGGCCCAGAGGCCTGGGGAAGGGGCGCCAGGGTGCAGGTTGAGTACTTCTGCCCAACTCTAGAATGTCACTTGTGACTCAATGCCCTGCAACTTGGAAGGAGACCCACCAGTGCAGCTTAGGTCCTGACCCGGGAGGGTCCTGCAGGAAGGCCAGCGGGCTTGAGGTCGGGCGGCAATGCCAGAGGAGACCCTGCTCGCTGCTCTGCCACTTGAAGGCTGGCCCTTTAAACCCCAGAACATGATGTCACTGTAGACAGCAAAGGGACGGGAGGGGGACTGCAGGTCTGAGGTCGGACTACACTTCCCAGCAGCCTCTGGTGCACCACACCCCTCCCGGCAGCCACTCGCTCGCCGCAGACTTATTAACCAGTCCCGTGCTGGTTCCGTGTGTGTGTGTGTCTGTTTTGTGTCTCTGTGTGTCTGTGTGTGTGTGTCTGTGTCTGTGTGTGTCCCCGTGTGTGTGTGTGTTTTGTGTGTGTGTGTCTGTGTTTTTTTTCTTGTGTGTGTGTCTGTGTGTGTGTGTGTGTGTGTGTCTGTGTGTGTCCCCGTGTGTGTGTTTTGTGTGTGTGTGTGTGTGTGTTTGTGTGTGTGTATTTTGGGTGAGGGTAGGATTCCCAGAAGGGTGGAGCCTGGAGGTGGAGCAGGCCCCCTCTCCGATGCCAGGATCCTGGCACCTCCCGAAGCTCCAGTGCAGACCCTCCGCGTGCAGCGCCCCTCTCCCCGTGCACGCCCCCTCGCAGCCCCGGCGTCCAGCCCCGGCGTCGCCGCCGCATCCCTCGCGGCTGGCACCATCCGGGGCGGCCGCGGGGATCGCCCACCCCCGCCTTCCGCGGCGGTTACGCTGACCCCCTTTAAGCGGGGCTGGAACTACAACTCCCAGCTGCCCCGGGCACTCCCTGACGCAGCCCCCCGCCCCCCAGCCCGCGGGGAGGCGCGGGCCGGGCGGGGGGAGGTGACTTGATGTCATCCTGAGCCGCTGGGCGGCGGGTGCCGGTGCGCGCAGAGCCCGGGCTCCCGCGGCGGCGCGGCTCGGACCCCGGCTGCAGGCAGAGGTGGGCGCGCGGCCTGCCCGGAGCCCGCGCCCGAGTCGGGGCTTGACGGGGGCGGGGGGCATGCCCCGGGCCCCCCGGAGCCCGAGCGGGAACCCCGGAGCGCCGCCGCCCCGCGCCCGCGCCCCGCGGGAAGCCACTGCGGAGGGGCCGTGAGCTGCGCCCCCACCGCGGCCGGGAACGGCCCCCGGGAGAGCGGGCTGCAGAGTGCGACCCCCGGAGAAGTGAGTCCCAGCCGGCGGGGGGGCCGGGGGGGCCGATGGGGCTCGGGGGGCAGGGTGGAGGCGCTGAGATGGAGGAAAATGTGGGGCTCGGGGAAGGGGGGCGAGCAGGGGTCTGGGCCGCGTTCTGGAGGAGTCCCTGGCCGGGGCGGGCGGGGGTGAAGGCTGGGGTCCCGGCGAGGCCCTGCCGCGAGGCTTGTTTCGGGGGGCGCCTGCAGCCTGGGATGGGGGGTCTGTGCTCGGGCTGGGTAGCAGCTGACCAGTTCTCTGCCTCTTTCTCGCCGACTTTCCGCACAGCATCTGCCGAAGGACCAGGGTGGGCGGCCCTCACTCCGCGGGACCCCCAGGAAGGACCCGAGACCTGAGCCGGCCTCATCTCTCCCTGCCTGCCCCCCCAGGACTGGACAGTTGCCGAAGGCCCTGGGGGGGGGCCCAGAACTGTTGTTGTGCCCCCCCCCAGCCCCACAGAATGGGCCCAAGTTAGCCAGCACGCTCAGCACCGGCCTGGCCCAGAGGGCACCCCGGGGGCTCTGAAGGCTTGACTGACCACGCTGACCACCGCCATGGAGACGAAGCTACCCCCCGCCAGCACCCCCACCAGCCCCTCCTCCCCCGGGCTGTCCCCCGTGCCCCCTCCGGACAAGGTGGACGGCTTCTCCCGCCGCTCGCTGCGGCGGGCCCGGCCCCGACGCTCACACAGTTCCTCGCAGTTCCGCTACCAGAGCAACCAGCAGGAGCTCACGCCGCTGCCCCTGCTGAAGGGTGAGCCCCCCTGCACCCCTGGGCCATGGCCCGGCCCTCTGCTGACGCATGGCCTGACTAGCCTGTCCCCAGAGGTGGGGCAGCTGGAGGTGGCGTCATGGGGGGGCAGGCCAGGGCAAAGGGTGGGGCCCGCAGGGCAGGTTCCGGGGGCCGGGAGCAGGTGCTGGGCTTGACTCACTAGGGACGGGGCTGCCCCCCAAGCGGAGCGGACCCCCCCAGCCTCTCCTCGCTCTGGCTCTTGAACACGGTACCCCCAGACACCCGAGGAAGGACTGGGGCTGGGACCTGCCTCTCAGTGCCTCTGTGGAAGGAAGAGGAGGTGCTCCTGCACCCCGGTGGGGCTGGGCTAGTGCTGGGGTCCCCACTCAGCCCCCCACCCCTGCCCAGATGTCCCAGCAGCGGAGCTGCACGAGCTGCTGAGCCGGAAGCTGGCCCAGTGCGGGGTCATGTTCGACTTCTTGGACTGCGTGGCTGACCTCAAGGGGAAGGAGGTGAAGCGGGCGGCCCTCAACGAGCTGGTGGAGTGTGTGGGCAGCACCCGGGGGGTCCTCATTGAGCCGGTGTACCCCGACATCATCCGCATGGTGAGCACCCAGAACCCCACACCTAGGGAAAGCCTGGGGGGGACCCGGCACCCTGATGACCTGCTCATTGTATGAGCCCCTGCGTGGAGCATACCCTGAACTCCCTTTTGCTGATGCCTCCAAAAGTGGGGGGGGTGTGTACACCCCCAAGGCTCCTCCCACCCCAGGCCTGTGTCTTCCGTGCACCCAGCTCCAGACCGAAGCTAGGCCTTGCCCCTTTGTTGCCTGGCAGGCTCAGAGGCCCATCTTGGTCTCTGTACCCCCTTACCCTGGGGCTGCACCCCAACTCTAGCCCGGGGCTTCCAGAATGAGGTGCACAGAAGCTGAGGGCTCGCCGGGCCCCTCAGAGCGACGCGTCTGCCGCTGCTGTGGGGCTCTTCCTTAATGAAGCCTGGCTCTCCCCTCAGATCTCAGTGAACATCTTCCGGACCTTGCCGCCCAGCGAGAACCCCGAATTTGACCCGGAAGAGGATGAGCCCAATCTTGAGCCTTCGTGGCCACATTTGCAGGTATGAGGGCGCGTCTGCGGGGCCCCGAGTTTCTGAGGGGAGGGAAGACGGCCTGGCGTACCCTGAATTGTTTGAGAGGGCATGGGGGGGGCTGTCAGTGAACCCCTCTTTCTCAGCCCCACACTGCATAGCTGGTGTAAGAACCGTTTTTCTCGGTCCTGTTCTGCATATTTGGTGTATGAGCCCCATTATTCTTTTTTTTTTTTCTTTTCGGGCATACCGGCGGTGCACAGGGGTTCCTCCTGGCTCTGCACTCAGGAATTACTCCTGGTGGTGCTCGGGGGACCATATGGGATGCTGGGGATCGAACCCGGGTTGGCCGCGTGCAAGGCAAACGCCCTACCCGCTGTGCTGTCACTCCAGCCCCTGCCCCCTTTATCTCGGCCCTGCACTGCACAGCTGGTGTGTGAACCCCTCTTTTTCTTGGTCCCACACTGCACAGCTGGTGTATGAGTTTTTTCTTCGCTTCCTGGAGAGCCCAGACTTCCAGCCCTCCGTGGCCAAGAGATACGTGGACCAAAAGTTTGTGCTGATGGTGATGTGTGGTGTCCGCAGGGGACCTGGGCAGGGGTGGGCTCTCTGAGGGGCGTGGAGAGAGGGTGGAAGCCCCCAGAGCTCAGCTGACCCCTGACCCCTGGCCCCGGGTCCTGCAGCTCCTGGAGCTGTTCGACAGTGAGGACCCCCGGGAGCGGGAATACCTCAAGACCATCCTGCACCGGGTCTACGGCAAGTTCCTGGGGCTCCGGGCCTACATCCGCAAACAGTGCAGCCACATCTTCCTCCGGTGGGTGTGCAGTGAACGAGGGGAGCAGTGGGGGGCGGGACGGGGCAGGGCGGGACGGGCGGGGGGGATGCGCACTCTGCTTCCCTGGAGGGGGGCAGAGAAGTCGCCCCCCAAGTCAGGATCTTGCCCCTGGCCGCCCTCTTGCTGGGCTTGAGAGAAGGTCCAGAGAAGAGTTCTTCCTCCACCAAGGATGGGGTACCTGGGCCTCATCTTCAGAGCCTGGTTTTGGGGGTCTGGCTGGACTGGAGTCAGAGTTGGGTGAATTTGGGGGAGGGGGGGCGTGAACTTTCAACCCATTTCTAAGCCTCTGATGATGGGTGCATTGCAGCCTTGCGGGTAGGCAGTTCCGAGCGGCCTGGAAACTTGAACTCCACCCTGGGGGGGCCAGATTCAGGGGCTCACTGAGCCTCAGTTTCTGTGCCTGCACAGTGGATCCTGGGGTGCAGTGATGTGTGGGTGTCATCAGTGGGGTCCTTTGGGAAGAGTGACGAGTGTAGGCTGGGTGGGCACTAGGGCACGTGAGGGTTTGGAAGGGGTCCGGGGTGCGTGCATCTGCGGTGGGCTGGTTGAGCTGGTCTCGGGGTCGCCGAGAGGGGCTGAGCCCACCGACCCCTCTTCCTCCAGGTTCATCTATGAGCTCGAGCACTTCAATGGCGTGGCAGAGCTGCTGGAAATCCTTGGAAGGTACCTCCTGGGGCCGGGACCGGGACCCCCGTGTGGGGGAGGAGGGACCCTGCCCGGTCATCCAGCCCCGCTTCTTCTCCGCTCCCCACCCTGCTAGCATCATCAATGGCTTCGCCCTGCCCCTGAAGACGGAGCACAAGCAGTTCCTGGTTCGGGTGCTGATCCCGCTGCACTCGGTCAAGTCGCTGTCTGTCTTCCACGCCCAGGTACGGCCCGGTGCAGTCCTGCCTGGACAGCTCCTTCCCGCTGGCCTCTGGAGGCTGGCCTCTGCCCTCCACGTTTGCTGGGAGCCCTGCTCGGGCACCGGGCTGACCTGTCTCCCCGCTTCTCTGCCCCTCACAGCTGGCGTACTGCGTGGTGCAGTTTTTGGAGAAGGACGCCACCTTGACAGAGCACGTGAGTACCTCTGGGGGGCGGCCGGCCCCCGCCCCTCCGAGTCTGACCCCCGTCTGCGCCTCTCCCTCAGGTCATCCGGGGACTGCTCAAGTACTGGCCGAAAACCTGCACCCAGAAGGAGGTAGGAGAAGGCCTGGCCGCCCGCCCCAGGAGGCTGGGGGACCCGATCTTGGGGGAACGGGGCGGGGGGGGTGGAGGGGCTGGTGCTCGGGATTCAGGGCTACAGGGCTCTGGACACTGCTTCCCTGTGCTCCTCCGCCCCAGGTGATGTTTCTGGGGGAGATGGAAGAGATCCTTGACGTCATCGAACCCACCCAGTTTGTGAAGATCCAGGAGCCCCTCTTTAAGCAGGTGGCTCGCTGCGTGTCCAGCCCCCATTTCCAGGTACGGCTGGGGACGGGCAGGAGGGTGGGCAGGGGGACAAGGCGTGACCTGTACTCAGCTCCCTGACAGAGGAGGGGCTGCAGGCAGCTTGCCCCTCTGCTCACGAGCGTCCCCATCTGTGAAATGGGCCTCGAGGTGGGGGGAGTGAACATCTGCAGTGAGAACAGATGCTTGTAGGATCCTCGCATGTAGCTGACACCCATTCGATCCCCACTGCTGCCTATGGTCCCCCCAAACCTCACCGACAGTGGTCCTTGAGCACAGGAGTACGCCATGAGCATTGCAGGGCGTGCACCCCCAAACCAAGAAATGAACATTCCTGGTGACAGAAGTGGAGGGCCTTGGTGGCTGCCCCTGGTCCACTCCTCTACTGCCCTTGGGGTCCCTTAATGCAATCCAGCCCCCTGGTCTCCCTCACGGACTCCCCCAATCGCAGGCCCATCCCATAGTGCACCCCTGCTTCCAGCCAGTGACCCCATACTTGAGTTTATCAAGCGCGACGTCCTAGGGCTGACCAGGCTGAGCCCAAGGGCGGGCCAGGCGCCGTGGCCGGGTCTGTGTGCAGTGGAGTGAGGGGTTAGCCAGTTTGGGATGCTTTGGCCTCGTTCCCTCCAGTGGGTCGACATGCCCCTCTAAGAGGGGCAGCGCCCGGCCATGGGGCGTTGCTCGGACCCTCCCTGCCCTTTCCCCCCTGGCCCAGGTTGCAGAGCGGGCTCTGTATTTCTGGAACAACGAGTATATCCTGAGCCTCATTGAGGACAACTGCCACACTGTGCTGCCTGCCGTGTTCGGGACCCTCTACCAGGTGTCCAAGGAGCACTGGAACCAGTGAGTGTGCGAGGGGCTGGCGAGGGGCCCGAGGGCGGGGTGGAAGGGCAGTCCCCACCGAGGTCGGGGATGGGGGCCACTCAGATGGGTCCCGCTGAAGCTGCCGCGTCACCGTCCCCCCCCCCCGCCCTCCGCCCCGCCAAGGACCATCGTGTCTCTCATCTACAACGTGCTCAAGACCTTCATGGAGATGAACGGAAAGTTGTTCGACGAGCTCACGGCCTCCTACAAGCTGGAGAAGCAGCAGTGAGTGTGCCTGCGGGCAGGGAGTGGGGGTGGGGAGCAGCCTCCTGGGGAGCCCCCCCACCCCGCTTCTGCAGTTGGGGGGGTGGGGGCTGCTGACCCTCTCCCCGCAGGGAGCAGCAGAAGGCCCGTGAGCGCCAGGAGCTGTGGGAAGGCCTGGAGGAGCTGCGGCTGCGCCGGTTACAGGGGAGCCAGGGGGCCAAGGAGAGCCCCCTGCAGCGGCTTACGACACCCCAGGTGGCTGCCAGCGGGGGTCAGAGCTAGGGAGCCCCCAGAGGGGGAGGCACCAACCCCGGAGCTCTCGGTCCCTCCACCTCCTCCTGCCCAGAGAGAGGGTCAGCCCTGGCCTGGCCCCAGTGGGCGCGGACAGCAGCCTTGGGAGGGGTGAGCAGGGGGTGGTGGGCTCAGCCTGCAGCGGCAGCTGGACCCGCGGCCTCTGGCGGGACTCGACCACCAGGGCGGGCTGGGCCAGGGAGCCGGCGCGGGGGCCCATCCCGCAAAGCTGGGCCCCAGCCAGCCCGTAGGCAGCTCCCCCTGCCCCGCCCGTCCTTTGGGTCAGGGCGCTCGGCCCCTTCGCCTGCCCACCCCGTGCCAGGGGACCTCCCTTCCCCGCCACGGGACCCGCTGTCTATTTATTCTCCCACCTCACCCCCAGCACAGATGCTGTCCCGGGCCTTGGGGGGGGGCCTCCCCTCCTCGCCCTGTACTTCCTGGTCCCCTTTTTATTTATTGGGCAGGGGGAGGGCTGAGGGCACAGGTAGAAGCTTCCCGTGGCGGCGGCGAGGTGTGGCCCCTTTCCCTGGCGGGGTAGATTAATAAAGAGAGAAACTCGCCGTGGGCTTGCTTTATTGGGGGGGAGGGGCGCAGCCTGGGGTGGGGGGACGCGGGCAGGAGATGGCCCGGCCGAGACGGCTGTCCCAGGAAGACCGCACTGAACCCCAAAAAGGCTGGAGCTGGAGACTCCCCTCCCCGCCAACCCCATTTTTAAGTTACTGGCCAGGGCCCGGGGTGCTTCTGGCCTGAACCCCAATGAATGCCCACAGATGGGCTGGGGTGCGGGTCCAGGCGGTGACAGGCTAGTAGCGGGACAGGCGACACATGTCACATTGGCAGGCCCTGGCCGTGAAGATCTCGAGCTCCTCCTTCCGGGACCCCCCACACTGCAGCTGCACCTTCACCTGTGGGAGAGGTGGGATATGGGGTCGACCGGGTCTCCCCCAGCCTCTGCGCCCACCCCCCAACCACCGCCGGCCCCTCACCTTCCTCAGGCCGCTGATGGTGCAGCAGCGCGACACGGAGGTGATGTTGTGCCGGTAGCTGCTGGCCGCCAGCACTGAGTGCCGGGACGGGAAGGCGCTGGACTCGCAGTGGCCCACGCAGGCCTGGGCCGTGTGGGCGCCCTGGCACGTGCCTTGGCGGTCACTCCGCACCGTCACATTGAAGGCTGCGGGAGACGGCAAGCGTGTCGGGGAGCCCCTGGGAGAGGGGAGCCTGACCCCGGGCCCGCTTCTCAGCCTGGGGGGGTACTCACGGTACAGACGGCAGCCTGGGGGGGCTGCCTGCTGCCCCTGGCCACCGGTGAGCACCAGCAGGCTGAGAAGCAGCGCTTGGAGGGCCTCCATGAGCATCAGGAACCCGGCAGGCGGATGGTGTCTCTGGATGGGGGTGTGTGTGGGGGGGTGCCTTTAAATACTGTGTGTCCCCAGGGAACCGGGCGGGGGGGGGGGGGTTTGCTGAGCCGGCACAGCAGCCCATGTGCAGGGCTGGCTTTGGTGCATGTGCATGGGCCGGGTCCCGATCCCCCCTGGGAGCACAGACACCCGCCTCCCTGTCTGTCCCATCTCGTCTGTCCCATCCCGCCTCGCCCAGCTCACGGCATCCAAGGCCCCGCGGGAACGCGCCTCCTGCTGGTCTCCAGCCCTGGAACCCGTGGGGCTCAGGGTTTTGGGGTTTTATCTGCAGCATGCAGGAGCCCCGCCTCCCTGGGGATCAGCTTTCGGGCCTGCCTCCCGCCTGAGGCCCACCTGGGAGAGTTCCCGGGAGGCGTGGCAAGAAAGGGCCGCAGACTGCAGGCTGGGCTGAGGGTTTTCCTTGCAGGATGACCCTGGGCAGGGTGCGTGGCCTTCCTCAGCCCTGCCTGTCCCTCACCTTATGGAGGAGGGTCCCCCCGGGGACAAGGGCAGTGAGAGCAGTGGCGGGGGCCTTCTCAGGGGCTTGGTAGCAGGGGCAGGAGAAATGGGGGTCCTGAAGGGGCTTCGGAGCTTCCCTTTCAGTGTCTCGGTAGTGGGGGGCCCGGCTGTAGCCCCAAGCAGAGCGGGGAGGCCCTCCAGCCGCTCGGCTATCCGCCAGGAACTCTGAGCCCCGCTGACGGCTGTGGCAGCCCAGGCTGGACAGAAAGGGAGGAAGGCCACACCAGACCCACGTCTGCCATCCACGCGTGGTGCTGGGATGCGCGGGGGACTGCAGGGCTGGGGTGGGGTTGAGGTCATCAAGAGCCATCTCCCCCAGGGCTGGCCCCTGGCCTGCTCGAAAGCTGGGGCTCAGCCCCTCTGACCCCTTTTCTCGCAGAGGGGACTGTCAGCTTCACAGCATGGGCGACTTCGGGGACGGTCGGGGAAGGCCTCACCACACGCGGCTGTTCCCGCCATCCACATGCTCAGCTCCCCTCCCCTGCGCCCCCCAGCCTGTTCCCACAGCTGACCCCCACTCCCGCTGCTGACCCCGGTGGAAGACAAGCTCCATAGGGCCACTTCTTCCCAGACATCTCCTGTCACCTCCGGAGGGCTTCGGAACTCATGTGATTCCCCTAAATCCCACCTGGCCACCAGAATCCAAACCCGGGATTCTGGGCCTAGAGCTCAGGTGCTTGGTCCGGGAGGGTGGGGGGCGCTAAGCAGAGCTGCCCCCCTCTTATTTTCCCAATCACCAGATCTGTGGCACAGTCCAAAGCCAAACAGAACGGAGGGGGGTGAATATTTGCTACTAGAGAGCTGCCATTGGAGGCAACCAGGAGAGAAGATATCTGAGCACCAGACACGGAGTCTTTTTTTTTTTTTGCACCACATCCAGAGATGCTCAGGGATCACGCCTGGAAGGGCTCTGGGAACCATATGGGGGACTGGGGACAGACCCAGTTTGGCTGCATGCACAGCAGACGCCCTACCGGCTGGGTCTCTCTCCAGCCCCAGGATGGGGAGTCATTCGAGGCCCCGTTCCCTGATCCTCAGGCCTGGCTGTTGAAGGCCAGCGGTCAGGTTCCTACCCCAACCCCCCAAGCTTTATCCTGCTCTCTCCATTTCACTGAATTTAACCAATAACTTCAAAAATAATTTATTTCGTTAGGACCCTAAGTGCTAGATATGGAAGACCTAAAACTGGACCTCAAAACTTTTCAACTAAAATGTTTAAAAAATACTGTGTGTGTGTGTGTGTGTGTGTGTGTGTGTGTCTGTGTGTGTGTGTGTGCGTGCGCATTTAAAATGGAAACAGCAAGTGCAAGCATCCCACTACAAAGGGGCTAATGGCAGGATGGGCCCAGAGGGCTCAGGATGGAGGTCTTCCCTCCGGACGCTGGAGCGGATGAGGGGATGGGACCATCCCCATGGCAGGCTCACTGGCTGCTCTTCCTGAAGAAATACCGGAAGGGGAAGAGGGAACTGTGGGAAAGAAGCAGAGCAGGTTGAGACTCCAGAGGTTCCCCCTTCCCCCCCCACCCCTGCCCGCTCCCAGGTCCCATTAGCGCCCCATTAGCCAGGGCACTTTTGCTCTGGGGAGCCACTGCATGGAAATTCGAGTCTGGAACAGCATTAGGAAAGGTACCCAAATTGGATTATGCTCAGGAGGCGGAACAAGGGGGAACTGCAATGGGCTGGCTGAGCTCTAGGCAGAGTCGGGATTCACTAAGTATCCTCCGAGGAACAGGACTCAAGAGCCGGCCTGGATTCCAAGTGGGAACTGACCATTCGGGAACTGACCCCAGTGCCGGGCTGGGCTGGGTCAACAGCAATGCGACCTCATCTTCACCACGGTCACAGTTAAGACTATTGTGTTGACTCCCTTCCTTCCTCTCTGCGGAAGCAGCTTCTGCAGGGGGCTGCTGGCTTCTCTCTTCCCGATTCCCCAGGAGACTGGGTCTGGGGGATGCAGGAGAGAACTGCTCTTACCTGAGAAACCCGAAGAAGCCGCCCGTCCTTGGCTCTGCAGGTCCTTGAGGTGGAGGGGGACTGTTTTGCTGCAGATGGGGGCTGACCTGCTCTGCAAGGCTGTCCTCCCACTTGGAATCTGCAAAAAGAGCACTCAGGCAGGGGCACTGGGCCTTGGGCGACTTCCACTTGGCTGGAGAAGCCGGCATGCACTGAGGGTGGCCTCTCACCGGTGCTCTGCTCCTTCAAGTCAATCTTCTTGGGGAGACAGGACATGGGGGCAGAATGGTGGAGGGAAGGGGGGGTGGGGAGAGGTGAGGCACTCACCAAGAATGTGGCTGACCCAGGTTGGTCCATGGAACCACCGAGGGATCCCTGAGCTCAGAGCCAGGAGTAAACTCTGAGGACTGCTGGGTGGAAAAAAGGAGGAGAGAGGAGGGGAAGAGAGGGGAGGGAGAAGGAAGGAAGGAAGGAAGGAAGGAAGGAAGGAAGGAAGGAAGGAAGGAAGGGAGGGAGGGAGGGAGGGAGGGAGGGAAGGAGGAGGGAGGGAGGAAAGGAGAGGGAGGGAGGGAGGGAGAAAGGAAGGAAGGAAGGGAGGGAGGGAGGGGGGGAGGGAGAGAGGGAGGAAGGAAGGGAGGGAGGGAGGGAGGGAGAGAGGGAGGAAGGAAGGGAGGGAGGGAGGGAGGGAGAGAGGGAGGAAGGGAGGGAGGCAGGGAGGGAAGGTGGGAGGGAGGGAGAGAAGGAGAAGGAGGGAGGGAGGGAAGGTGAGAGGGAGGGAGGGAGGGAGAAAGGAAGGGAGGGAGGAAGGGAGGGAGGGAGGGAGGGAAGGTGTGAGGGAGGGAGGGAGGGAGGCAGGTTCCCCCTCAGCTGCAGGCAGCACTGTTCTGGTGTGCCTTGGTTTCCAAAGTCAGGCCTTGAGACTTTCCCTGGGCCCCAGTCCTAGCTCACTGCTCCCCTCCCAGCTCGGGGTGCCTGCAGTCTACACTGAACCTTCATTCTGGGTCAGAGCTTGGCAACAGGAAGGCATCCCCCTCGACATGCGCTGAGTATCTTCAACCTGAGCACGATGGCCAGAGCGGGAGGAAAGAGCTTCCAGGCATCCTTCCCCTGCGCCAGGGAGCATGTCACTCCCATGGTCTCAGTGAAACAGCATCTCAGAGGGAAATGTCTGGAAACAGTGGGAACGTCCCGAGAGTCGCACTCCTGAAATGAGAGGGCTTGTCTCCCTCCCCCTCTGGCCTCCACTGCTCAAGTTAAGCAGATGACCAACGGGCATGACCAAGGGGAGAAGGCACGTCGCCACCAGGCTCAACGCTCTGACTGGGTCCACTCATCAGAGAAGTTTCCTTTTGGAATTGTTTATGGGGTCCGTGACAGGTCCAAGCTCAGGGAGCCACGTCACGCTAGGTATTTAATCCAAGGTTCGCACATGCAAGTCATTGCTCTACACTTGAGTCATTATTAAAGAATAAATGGGAATTTCTCAGAACTTACCCTGTTTCTGGCTGACAGGAACATCCAAAGCTGGGATCTCCTGCCATGCTTGCTGGGTTTTTCTTTCCCTGTTCTGATAAAAAAAAAAAAAAAAGACTAAGAAAAGTCTTAGAGACGAACCCCTTCCATCCTGGCCAGGTGAATGCTATTTGCTAGAGAACCAATTTCTCGTTTGTGCTAGGACCTGGCTTCTGATTGCCCAGGTAACTACTCCATTTCCTCCCACTGGACTGGCCTCTTTCCTTTTCAGCTTCCTAACCTGTCCTTCGGAACCATAAGAGCCAACAGGAAACCAAGCTGGATTTAACCGACAATCCCAGATGGACTAACTGTTGCCAAGGACAGAACCTTGTTTCAGAAATCAGGAGGTGGAGGCTGGAGTGATGGTGCAGCAGGGAGGGCACCTGCCTCCTGGGTCTGATCCCCGGCATTCCATATGGTCCCCTGAGCCCAACAGGAGTGATTCTTGATGCAGAACTAGGAGGAACCCCTGGGCATTTACCAGATGTATCCCCTACCCCACCCTCCAAAAAAAAAACCCCAAACAAACAGAAATCTGGAGGTCTTGGGCCAGAGAGCTCAATGGGCTGAGCACTGGCTTTGCATGTGTACCCGGTACTACAAGCACTACTGGGAGTGACCTCTGAGCACAGAGCTGACTCTGAGCACAGCTGGGTATGCGTGGGTAGGTGGGGAGGAAGGAACGAAAGAGAGAAAGAAAAGAAGGGAAGAGAAGAGAAGAGAAAGGAAACAATCAAGAGAACCTTTCCTGGAGAAAATGCGGGGCTGGAGAGATAGCACAGCGGGTAGGGCGTTTGCCTTATACACGGCCGACCCGGGTTCGATTCCCAGCATCCCATATGGTCTCCTGAGTACCGCCAGAGGTAATTCCTGAGTGTGGAGCCAGGAGTAACCCCTGTGCGTCGCTGGGTGTGACCCAAAAAAGCAAAAAAAAAAATGTATACTCTAGGAGGTCAAGTGATGTAGGAAGGAGAGTAAGAGTGCGACGGGACCAGCGCATGAGTCCGCTGAGGGTATCCACAGGATGACAGGTTGGTGAGTCAAGAAAGGCGCCACAAGGAGAGATATATTTGAACAAAGCCTTGGCAGGTGAGTGTTGCTGTGAGAACAGGAGTGAGGCGACAGTCAGAGAGAACAGAGCATTCGTGACGTGAGCACGGTGTGGATTTGGCACGCACACGGCGCAGGTAGCCAGCACGCTGCAATGTAATCTGGTTACTTTTCCTCGTGCTTCCACTTTATAAAAATTCCTTTTCACTTTTTGTTTGGGGGTCACACCCAGTAGTTCAGGGGTGACTCCTGCCTTGGTGTTTAGGGGAACCACACAGTGCTGGGGATCAAACTCAGGTCTTTGGCATGCAAAGCATGTACACCAGGGGCCAGAGTGATGGTACAGTGAGGAGGGCGCTTGCTTTGCACTCGGCCGACTCCGGTTCGATCCCCAGTATCATATGGTTGCCCAAGCACTGCCAGGAGTGGTTCCTGAGCAAAGACCCAGGAGTAATCCCTGAGCATCATTAGGTATGGTCCCCAAAACAAAACAAACAATAAAGCATGTACACTAGTCCTCTAGTCCTTTGAGCTATCTCTGTGGCCCGTCCTTTTTACCTCTTATTGTTTTGTTAACAGACCTTTCTTTTGGGGGGGACAATCTATGGAAATCTAGAGGGGCATCTCTCTCACATGCAGAACCTTGCTAGCCAGCAGAACTGCAGAGTACCTTGAGCCACTGTGTGTGTAAGGAATTCTTTAGAAGGGACCACAGACTGTCAAGGTGGGTCTGGGAAGCAGATGGCAAAATGAGATTGTAGCCCAGATTGTAGCCCCCCTCCTATCTCTGAGATGAATTTTCCAGAAAGCCCTCAAATCCCAGATCACCTAAATGGCCATCTCAGTCATACTCCTATCAAAGTCGGTGCAAACTCTGAAGGAGAATGGCAACCATCTTGGGCCTCTTCTAGACGAAGTGAGAGGAGATGTAGAAGACTCAGCTCTGACTTTATTTTTGGCTTTTTGGGTCATGCCAGCATTGCTCGGGAGTTACTCCTGGATCTGCACTCAGGAATTATTCCTAGTGGTGCTCAGGGGACCCTAGGGGATGCCAGGGATTGAACCCAGGTCGGCCATGCGTATGGCAAACACTTACCAGGTGTTCAGAGGCTCCTTCTGGCTCTGTGCCCAGAACAGAGCACAGGGGACCATGTGCTGCCACTGGGGATCAAACTCTTTTGCAGGCCTTCTGCATGCAAAACATGCGCTCCGGTCCACTGAGCTCTTTCTCTGGCCCTCTGCTCTGATTTTTAACTTCAAAGTATTAGGCTCTGACAAATCTATTGAGAGTAGCTTAGGGCTCATGTGGCAGTGCAGGCCCGAATGAAGGTATCTACCCAAAGGGCCAAGGCTCTGGGCCAGAGGCATAGTGGACCTCTGAGCCAGGGAAACACCACTACAAAAGAATTGAGGTTTTTGGGTTTTTTGGTTTTTTGCTTTTTGGGTCACACCCAGCGATGCTTAGGGGTTACTCCTGGCTTTGTACTCATGAATCACTCCTAGTGGTGCCTGGGGGACATATGGGATGCCAGGGATCAAAACCAGGACGGCTGTATGCAAGGCAAATACCCACCCTGCTGTCCTGTCGCTCCAGCCCCAGAATTCAGTTTTTGTATTCTTCTGAAATCTTGAGTCTTAGACAAATGTCAGAGGAAAAAAAAAAGATATCCCCACCCAGTTTATAGGTCAGTATTATCACGCAGATGATACATTTCTCCACAGTAACGTTAGGGTGTTCCTGATTTCTGAAATAAAACTGAGCTATCAACATGAAATTCCCAGAAACCCTGACCCGAGGCGGCTGGCTCTGAAAGCCGGGTCAAGCAGAGGAGCCCACAGAGGGACACTCACACCCCTTTGTTTCACTACTGGGCCATTTATCTCCTCTCCCCATTTTTGTTTATTTGTTTTGAGGTCACACCCAGTGATGCTCAGGGCTTATTCGGGGCTCTGCACTCAGGGATCAGACCTAGGCGGGCTCTGAGGATCTTATGGGGTGCCAGGGTCAAACCCACCCTATCCAGGCCCTCTTCCCCATTTTCTCTCCTTCCAAAGACTGGAGCTCTGGGCCTGGGAGCTGGAGCAACAGAGCACAGGCTGGCTGCATTCTCCCCAAACATCTCTGAGGACACAGATCACATTCACTCATGTGTGGGTTCATCTGGGCCTGCCCTGCACGGGCTCACATGTGTTCAGACATGCGCAATCCACACTGACTGGGTTCTGACCCCTTGCTTCCCCCCTACCCCCGCCCCCGGTGGGGAGAGAAAACATTCTGCATTTGGACCACAGAAGCAAATTCAATCTTTCTAGCTCCAGTGACTTATACTGAGAGACACTGTGATCGCTCTAATTTAGGAGAAATCCTCTCCCTGGAACAGGCTGTATGGAGAAGACGGTCTTCGGGCTTTGAGTCAAAATCAATAAACATGCTTCTTTCTCCCCCCCACCCCAGAGTTTTTCTAAACCAAGCAAGTATCGGGTTGAAAGGTAATTATGTTGGGTAAGAAGCTGTGGGTACTGTTCCTGAGGGAGACGGTGTGTCAAACTAAGAATAGGTAGAGAGTGAGGGAAATGTTCCTTTAATAGTAATTATCTTGGTTTTATAAAGCGGCTTTGTTCTCCAGAGCTTCGTGTACTTTTTAGTTTCTTGTACTTTTCAGTTTCTTCTTCTCCCCCAGATAAATGATGGGAGTATAGAACAGGGTAGCTGTGTGTCTAAAATCACCAATGTGTCAGCAAGTCACGGCAGACGAAATCCTTACCCTGACCTGCCTATAGAAGCCTAGAAGTTCACTCTTCCCCCAACTAATTAGCTCCTGGAAGGAAGATAGCAGCGTTCACCTACGATAGGTACCCTAGCACCTAAGATAACGCTTTGCAAATAGGAAAATTATTGTTTAGAAATGAGGATCACATGGGGCTGGAGCGATAGTACAGCAGGTAGGGAACCTGAGTTCAACCCCCATTACCCATATGGTCCCTGGAGCACTGCCAGGAGTCCTTTCTGAGTGCAGAGCCAGGACCCTGAGCGTCGCTGGGTGTGACTCCAAACCAAGAACAAAATACTAATAAATGAAAATCACTTCCCTCTGCTACTTAAAATGTTTCCGGCACCTCCCATGATCTCTTGAAGGCGGCCTCAGGGCCTTCGAGATCGTCCCTTGCCAGCATCTCTAGGGACCTTTCTCAACTCTGCGCTAAGGCCCAAGAGTCCTGGCTGGCAGTCACCGAAAGGCCCAGACTCCTTCCTCTTGGCCAGAGCTCTGAGTGACTCTGGAACCCTCCCGTGACACTGGGTCTGGGTGAGGTTCTCCTTCCTGGATCCACTGCCCCCTGTGCTTCCTTTATTCCTATACACAGGACAGTCATCAGAAATTACTCTGGGCCCAGAGCTGAAGCCACGGCGCATGTGTTGGGCCTTCCTTCCCTTAGGAAACCGGGACCTCCTAGTCGGCCTTTTCGGGGGGCGTGTGCGCTATCTGTGTATTGGGCACACTGCACATGTGAAATCAAAGTCTGTGACATGAAAGCGTATGTCAATACTTGAAAACTCAGCATGTCCTGGCAAGGTAGGGAGGCAGCTCTGGGTATTCGGGTACTTAAGGTGAAAGCCACTTTGGAGAGATACAGAAGACTAAGACAGGGGAGGGACAGTGCAGCGGGGAGGGCATTTGCCTTGTTCGATCCCTGGCATCCCATATGATCCCCTGAGCACCGCCAGGAGCTATCCCTGAGTGCAGAGCCAGGAGTAACCGTGAGCATCTGTTGGTATACCCCCCCATCCCCCCGAAGAAAAAGAGAAGAAAAAGACAGGAATCCGAGTTATATAAAGCAACGGGGGCCGGAGCGATAGCACACCGGGTAGAATACTTGATTTGCACGTGGCCAACCCTCCAGCATTCCATATAGTCCCCTAAGCACTGCCAGAAGTGATTCCTGAGCACAGAGCCAGGAGTAACCCCTAAGCACTGCCAGGTGTGGCCCCAAAACCAAAATAATAGAATTTTTTAACAAAGAAGGGTGGGAATGAAATGGATGAGCAGGTATATGAAGACCTAAATGGGGAATACCACCTCCACACCCCCCATCAAATACTATGGGGCAGCTCAGCAATACTGTAGGTGACATTTTCTCCACCCGATTGCTCCGTGCCTAGCACACAGTGAAACTAGATGCTTTCAGGCTGGGGAGAAGGCTCAAAGGGCCAGAGCGAATTTTTTTTTCTTTTTGGGTCACACTCGGCGATGCTCAGGGGTTACTCCTGGTTCTGCACTCAGGAATTACTCCTGGCAGTGCTCAGGGGACCCCTATGGGATGCTGGGAATCGAACCCAGGTCGACCGCGTGCAAGGCAAATGCCCTACCCGCTGTGCTGTGCTATCACTCCAGCCCCAGAAGCAAATGTTTTACATACAGAAACCTGGCTTCAGTCCCTGTCGCCCTGACCCAAACCGGGAGCACCAAAACAAGCAAAAATAAGCTAAGGAGAAAATTCTACACTGGAATCTACCTCAATTCAATACAGATCTATTTCCTTATCTCCACTTCAGAGAATAAGCAGCAGCTTTCGAAGTAGAGAGAGGAGAATCCTCTAACAAAAGGGCTCATAGATATACAAATACTGCAGCTACTTTAGGGAGGGACCGTGGCCAGGGTGGAATGGCCGGATATGCTCGGAAGAAACCTGAGAATGAATTCAGTTGATTCATTTTGTACTTAGGACCAAGATGTAATTCTAGGACCAGCAATCCAGACTGGTAGCAGCAGGGCAGGAAGAGCCACCAGCCCCCGCCTCCACCCTGGTGCTTACCCTCTTGCTTTCCATTAGGGGCTTCTTTCTGCTGGGTCCGTGGCTGGAAGTTCCCATCGTCGCCCTAAGGTGGGGGTGGGGGGAGAAAGCCCAGGAAATATTACTGGCAGCAGCAACATTACCACATTCAAGCAAATGTAGCCCAAATGAATATTTCAGCAGGTTGGCTATTTTTATACCACTCCTGGCCTGCAGAATAAATTGTGGGGCCAAATTCTCTTTGGGTGCTGCTCTGATTCACAAGAGAATCCAAAATTGAGACATTTAGCTACCTAGGGATTGAAAGAAGAGAAAGTGTGATTCATAGCAGATATTTAATTTTTAAAAATCAATTGTGCATCAAAACCTGGAGAAAAGAAAAAAAAATGAGGCCTCATTTCCATGGAAAATTTGGCTGAAAGAAATGAGTTGAGCTTCACACCTCTGTGCATCCATCTGCCATGGAAAGTTTTCAAACTCTTCACCGATACATGCAACTGGAGGCCGCAGGGGTACAGCTGCCTCATGGTCGACCCTCACTCATCCTGTACATCTCGGGGGCACCACCCCGCGGTCCCAGGAAAAGGACAGCTGCTCACTGTAAACCTGGACTGAAACCAGGCAGGTGAGTCTGGATTACTCCAGTAGTGCCCACCGAGTGCTAACAAGAGTGACTGACTTATTGACTGATTCTATTTCTGACAGAGAATTACAACAGTAATGTAAGAATTTTTTTTTCTTTTTGGGCCATACCCAGCGATGATCTGGGGTTATTCTTGGCTCTGCACTCAGGAATTACTCCTGGAGGTGCTTGGGAGACCATATGGGATGCCAGGGATTGAACCCGGGTTGGTGGCATGCAAGACAAACACCCTACCTGCAGTACTATTGCTCCGGCCCCAATAACATCAGCATTTTATTGATGATTAACACACACACACACACACACGCACACGATTCCTTCGAATATCACAGCATCTCGTCTAACAAAGGACACGTACCTTATTATTTATTTGTTTAGCAGCTTTAAGGGTCACAGCAAGGGTCTTGTACATGCAAGACAGGTACCATCCTGCTGGGCCACACCTTCTGAGACAGACCTCGCGCACAGACTCATATTCTAGCTCAACTGTCTCTAACATAGAGTTCCAAAAACTTACAGCTGGCTAGGTAAAACAGAATTATGTCTTATCTGCTCTCACTTTTTGGTGGGGTTCTCTATGCCCTTATTTAATATTCTGGAACTTACTAACTCATGCCTTCTGACTATATTTTCTTTCTTCCTTCCTTTATAAGAAATTTTTTGCTTTTGTGCCACACCCAGCATTCTCAGGGGTTACTCCAGCTCTGGACTCAGGAATTACTTGGGACGGGCTTTGGGGGAACCATACGGAATGCCAGGGATTGAACTCAAGTCGGCCACATACAAGGCAAATACCCTACTATTGCTCTGGCCCCTGATTATATTTTCTGATAGGACTTACTTAGCAAGTATTTATTAAAAATGTGTTGCATTGGGGCCGGAGCAATAGCACAGCGGGTAGGGCGTTTGCCTTGCACGCGGCCAACCTGGGTTCGATCCCCGGCATCCCATATGGTCCCCCAAGCACCGCCAGGAGTAATTCCTGAGTGCAGAGCCAGGAATAACCCCTGAGCATCGCTGGGTGTGACCCAAAAAGCAAAAAAAAAAAAAAAGTGTTGCATCCATTTTGGCACTGGTTAAGTGTGATAACTTTGTATACATATATACAATATATGTTAACATTATTGTAACAATGTTACCTAAGGTACAATTAAAAATGAACTTAAACATGATTTGGATTTCAGGGCTGGAGATACAATACAGTGCAGTGGGGAAAGCACTTGGCTGCCAGTTTGATCCCCGACATCCCATATCGTCCCCTAAGCACTATAAGGAGTGATTCCTAAGTGCAGAGCCAGGAGTTAACCCCTGAGCATAGCTGGGTATGGCACCCCCCAAACAAAACTGGAGCGATAGCACAGCGGGTAGGGCGTTTGCCTTACAAGCGGCCAACTATTGCCGACCCGAGTTCGATTCCTCCGCCCCTCTCGGAGAGCCCGGCAAGCTACCGAGAGTATTTGATATGCCAGACACAGTAACAACAAAGTCTCCAATGGAGACGTTACTGGGCCCGCTCGAGCAAACAAAACAAAACAAAACAAAAATTGTTGGATGTAATGTTCGAGATTTGATGGCATTTATTCTCGTCCTTCATCCTGATGAACAGAGGACTCCAGCACTGCTGAGGAAGTGCTCAGTCAATTGCAAGCAGCAACTGGCTTCCTTCCCTTCATCCATCCATGGCAATAGGCAGATACCAAATACCACCAAGGAAGAACGAACTTGCCTAGGGAGGCTGGAGCAATAGCACAGCAGGTAGGGCGTTTGCCTTGCACGTGGCCGACCCGGGTTCAATTCCCAGCATCCCATATGGTCCCCCGAGCACTGCCAGGAGTAATTCCTGAGTGCATGATCCAGGAGTAACCTCTGTGCATTGCTGGGTGTGACCCAAAAAGAAAAAAAAAAGAAGAAGAAGAACTTGCCTAGGAATAAGACTTGATCAGCACCATAGCTGGCAAAATCCAAGGAGAATTCAGGACTTGGTCTCTCTCCTCACCCCACTGACCTGTCCAGACTTCGCCTCCTGGGGGAGTTGGGCGTTTCCATGTGCTTCCGTTTCCTCATCGTGGCATGCACTTCTTTCCTCTCAGGGAAGGCCTTCAGAGAGGAAGCAGCTTTCTTAAGCCTCCTTTGCCAGAGTTGCTCACAGTTCATATGGCAATAGTGATGAAAACTCCCCATGTTTAATTGCCAAAGGCAACTCTTAACACCCGCAGTGCAAGTGAGAATATATATTCTGTTAAAGACAGTCTCAGAAATCTAGTCAGGGGTAGGGGGTGGGGTGGGAATATGGTCTCAGACAATTCCCATCCTACCTAGGCAGCAACTAAGGGACACAGTAAGAAGAGACAAGAGCTGGACTTGTTTGGATATTAGGAGGCGATTTTGATTGTACAGAAAAGGCAAACTTACCAACTCAAGAGATTTGTTACTTCCTGGTTTCCCTAGAAAAATAAATTTGACTGTTGTAATGGATCAAAATTCTGTCTCAGTTGAATTTCAGGCTACCATTTAGTTCTCAAAATTGGTCTAGACAAAACCAGTGTCTGTGCTTCTCCCCTGGACTGGGCACCATTTTTCTTAGAAGCTCAGTATCTTTAACTATTTCCAATTTGCCTCTTTTCACAAGTGGAAAGGGTTTGACTCACACTATCCTCTTATATGACAAGCTGCTTAATGGGGCTGATCCCTTCTATGAGAAAGTAAAATTTCCAGCATTAGTGACAAATGAAGAAGTATTTTGAAGCAAGGTGGGTATCCATTTATTTCTTTGAGGAAAAATAGTAATGGCCCTCAGAGAGCAACAAATGGGGTGACACCTTTAAGATAACCACTCAGGAGTAGAAAGTCAACGATTACTCTAAAATGAGAGGAAGTATTTATAGAACCAGATCTTTCACGGAGTGATTACCGTCAGCCTTTATGCTTTTCACCTCTCACTATTTATATACATAATCCTTTTAACAACCCAGTGAGATAGATAATATTGTTTTCTACCATGTCACTAAGTAGCACAGAAAGATTAAATAATTTTTCTTGGGTCACAAAGCTATTAAGTGGCAGACACCAGGATTAAAGCAGGCAGCCTCATGTGGTGGTTGGCTCCTGAAATCTGGCTAATCATTTTGCTATATTCAGCTTACACTGATAACCCACGGTGTTTAGTCTTCCCACTCTTCATCTATGCTGCCTGTACTCACGTCATTCTACTTACCAGGTGACAGGTTTTCATGAAACCATTTCGTCTCCACATAGAGAGTAAAAACAAAGGGGTAGGGGACCAAGGCAACTTCCCCATGTCTGAATTTCAGGTGGGACACTCTTTCCCATTTGCTTTTATCTGGAAAATGGTTAGGAAAGAAACAGAATACTATTTTTTATTGTTGTTGTTTTTCCCACTCTCTGCACACATGAAGGTACTGGCAGAGGAACAGAGGCATGCGGGTCCCGGGACTGAGATCTCCAAGCCTACTCAGATCGGGGCTGAGCATCCTCCACCCAGATCCTCCAAATTCCAGATGGTGGGGGTCACACCCACCAACTGGCCCCCTGGCACCGTGTAATCCCATCAACGGACAAGACTCAGAGACTATAAAACCCAGCTCCCGGAATCACGCGGCCACATTCGCGCCCGTGTGACATCTTATTATCTCATTCCTACTTTGGACAAACTGGCAGGCTACCGAATGTAACCTGCCCACACGGCAGAGTCTGGCAAACTCCCCATGGCGTACCCAATATGCCAAATACCAGTAACAATGATGGGTCTCATTCTCCTAACTCTGAAAGAGCCTTGAATATGGAACTTTTTAAAAAAATCTCAGGGCTAGGACAAAGGAGACGTTACTGGGGCCTGCTCAAGGCAATCGACGAATAACAGGATGGTCGTGATCGTGATCGTTGTTGTTTTTGGGCCACACTCAGTAATGCTCAGGGGTTACTTTTGGTTCTGCGCTCAAGAATTACTCTTGGAGGTGCTCAGAGGACCATACGGGACTCCAGGAAGCAAACCTGTGTCAGCCTCATGCAAGCTAAGCATCCTATCTGCTGTGCTATCTCTCAGGAATACTATTTTAATAATAAGGCTCTCTACTTTCCCTGACTTAACCTCCAAACTGTCTACGGATGGGTTTATGGAGATGGCTCAAAGGATTGAGGTACCTGTCTGAAATGTGCAAAGTCCTGGGTTTGATTCCAAAAACTGCATGGCTTCCCCAGAACCTCCCCGTGTTGATTTTCCCAAGAATATCTCTCCAAGCCCCAATTTTCTCAAGAACTTCTGGGGAGGTCCCAAAGAAAACATGTCACACACACACACACACACACACACACACACACACACACACACACCAGAACCAAAACAAGTGCCTATGGGTCTGTTGCTTCCGTTTGAATCTACAATGTGAGTTATGGTTCATTTACGTCTGGAAAAAAAGGATACAGGGAAATACAACAAAGTGTTCTGTGGCAAATGGCTGCAGATTATCCAAGTTCCCCAAGACAACACGGATGGAATCCTGAAAAAAATATTGGAAATGACTTTTACACTGTCTTGTCTTAGGCAGTCTTGCTACTTAGTGTAGAAATATCTGTCACTGCTCTTCAAGGACCCTATATTTTATTAAAGCCGAACTATTTGCTCTTCTCTGAAATGTGCTTTCTGTTTCTCCATTTTTATGCATTTGCCTAAACTGTTCCCTCTGTTTGAAATGCCCTTTCCGCCTATTGGCATGTCCAAATCCTATCTTACCCTTTTTTAAAAATTTTTATTTTTTTTGCTTTTTGGGTCACACCTGGCGATGCACAGGGGTTACTCCTGGCTCTGCACTCAGGAGTTACTCCTGGTGGTGCTCAGGGGACCATATGGGATGCTGGGAATCGAACCCGGGTTGGCCGCGGGCAAGGCAAATGCCCTACCCACTGTGCTATCTCTCCAGCCCCCCTATCTTACCCTTTAAGGTATAGTTCAAAAAGCATCTCTTCCAGAAAGTTTTCTCTGATTTCCCAAGATGTAATTAATTTCGTAAGTGCTTCATGAGAGTTAACAATAGGCCTTTAATGATATTCGATGTACATAAGCAGTTTTGGTTTTATTTTCAGGGCCTCCCAAACAGTGCTGGGGGGGGGGGCGCTGGGGATGATTCCTAGTAACACCCAGCACCATAACTAGGCCTTGATATGGTGCTGCTCAGGCTGTGGTGCTGGGGATCACCAGAGTCACACCGGTAGTGCTTGGGCTACCATAATCATACCTAGAAGTGCTGGGAGGGACATGTAGTGTCAGGGACCAAATCAGGATTCCACACATACAAATCAAGCACCTCTGACCCCAAATCTATCTTCCTAGGCTCTGTGTCATGGTATTTTCCTTACCAGGAAAAGAAGATTTTGTTTGTTTTGGATCCACACCTGGCAATGCTCAGGGATTACTGTTGGCTCTGAACTTGGGAATCACTCCTGCCGGTGTTTTGGGGACCATATGGGATGCTGGGGATGGAACCTGGGTTGGCCGCATGTTGGGCAAGTGCTCTCCCTGCTGTACTATCTCTCAGCCCTTATGAGAGAACTTCTTGTGGTGACTAGATACCTGTTTATCTCAGCATCCCTCTATGAGATCTATAATGAGAGGCTCTCAATAAAAGTATGTTGAATGGAAGAGTAATGTACGTCAGGGCCAGGAAACCAGCATGAGGGCTGGACAATATATTTCGTATGCTAGAGCCCTGGGATCTAGATTCCCCAGGCACTGAGCTAGGAGTAGCTTTCAAGAACCACTGGTGCTCAAGAAACTCCTTTTGCTGATAGTTATTTGCTTCTGCTTAAGTTAAAACATTTCCTTTAAGGTTGGGAAGATAGCTCAAAGGCATTTAGAAGACCTGGAGTTCCCTGGCATCCACCTGGTTCCCTGAGCACCTTAACAGAGATGGCCCTTAAACATCACCAGGTGTGGTCCCCAAACCAAAAAATGTCATCAATTTTTTAAACTTTTATTCTTAAGGAGAGACAGTACAGGGTGTGAGGTGCTTGCCTTATATTCAACTGGATTTGGTTGATTGGATTGACTCTTCATACCACATATGGTTGCAGGACTGATCCCTGAGCGTAGAACCGGGAGTAAGCTCTGAGCACCACCAGATGTAGCCCCAAAACCAAAATAAATACATAAAAATATTCACTTATTAGTCCCCAATTTACCTACGTTATATTCTTTTCTTTGGCAGGGGTCGGGACACACCGAGCAGTTCTCAGTGCTCACTTCTGGCTGTCTCAGGGATCGCTTCTTGTGGATTTAGGGGACCATATGGGGTGCAGGGTGCTTAGGGGACCACACAGGTGCATTGACCGAATCCGAGCTGGTTATAATTAAACACAATCACGATCACGACCATCCTGTTATTCGTCGATTGCTTCGAGCAGGCCCCAGTAACGTCTCCATCCTAGCCCTGAGATTTTTAAGAAAGTGCCATACTCAAGGCACCAGTAATGTCTCCATTGTGAGACTTGTTACTGTTTTTGGCATATCGAATATGCCACGGGGAGCTTGCCAGGCTCTGCTGTGCAGGCAGGATACTCTCGGTAGCTTGCTGGGCTCTCCGAGGGACAGAGGAATCGAACCCGGGTCGGCCATGTGCAAGGCAAACGCCCTACTTGCTGTGCTATCGCTCCAGCCCTATATGGTCCTACAGTAAAAATTACCGTTATCTACAACGTTTCTGTTGCCCTGCAAGATCTTTTTAATTTTTTTTAATTATTTTGCTTTTTGGGGCACATCCAGCAATGCTCAGGGGTGATTCCTGGCTCAGAAATTATTCCTGGCAGTGCTCAGAGGTCCATATGGGATGCCAGGATCGAATCCAGGTTGACCTCGCGCAAGACAAACCTCCTACCTGCTCTACTATCGCTCCAGCCCCTGTCCTGCAAGAGCTTAATATGTTTTCAACACTTAGACAAAGAACCATAGGTACCTTTAAGATAATGACTTAGATTTTTGTTCTCAGAGGGCTTTGTATTTATGAATTAAAAAAGGTAATCTAATACTTTTAAATGTGGCATCTTACGTCTTTACAAATCATAACACTCATAAATCATTCAATTGTAAGTCTAGAAAAAGACTAAACTAACTTCAGCCTCCCCTTGTATGAATGGGAAAATAAGATCCAGAGAGAGAAATTTCTTCCTGAGGGTCACAGAGCTAGTGAGTAGTTCAGTCAGGACTGGAATCCAGAACCAGCACCCAGAACTCAACTTCCCAGTGTGCCAGTGTACTCGTTCTTGTTTTCTGTGGGAGAGCCTAAATTACAGGAGTAGGGTAGGAAAGAAAACTAGTGGGAATAAAGTAATTGCAAATGTTTTCAATTAAAATGAAGACACAGCAGTCCTGTCTGTGTATTTACAGTTGAGTTTCCTGAACGTCAAGTATTAGGCAGTGGTTGGGCCGGTGAATTTTCCCAGAGCCCGGGAAGCGGCAGTCTTCCAGAAGCCACCACAAAAGAGCTGTCAGGACTGGGAACTTGGTAGAAAGAAAATAACTCTCAGATTCAAAGGTGCTGACTCTTCAGCTGGAGAACAGAGAAAAGAATCCAGGCTTTAAGTTTCCCTAGAAAAATAGCAACTTTTTTCTTTTTTTTTTTTTTTGCAGAGGAAATATGGCAGGGAGAAGTTAAGTAATCAAGTGGAGGGTGTGACTCAGTTTGTAGGAAATAATTAAAATCTGGATATGGACACACCTTTGGCTAAAAGAAGAACTTTCCCAGAAGTTGCTTCTTTTCTTACCTCCAGCTCCTGAAAAATGATTTCCTTATTTTCTATCTCTTCTCCTCTAGAAGATAAACAGACAAGAGATATGTAAGAATTTGACAGCAGGACTCTATAAAGCACTCAGCAACTGAGAAAAGAAACATGACTCACAGTTGTGGAGGTTAGTCCAGTGCTCGGGAAAAAGTGGTCACCTACATAGTGTGAGCTGGTCCAAGGCTATACCTTTTCCACTAGATATATTTTATGCACTCTATCTTCTAATTCATGAATATAATCATCTTTCTATCTAATTAGGTAAAAAGTAAAAGTAAAGGTCCTCCCGTTGATCATCGGTTTACTCGAGCGGGCCCAGAAACGTCTCCATTGGAGACTTTGTTGTTACTGTGTTTGGCATATCGAATACATCACGGGGTGCTTGCCAGGCTCTGCCGTGCGGGCGAGATACTCTCGGTAGCTTGCCGGGCTCTCCGAGAGGGGCGGAGGAATCGAACTCGGGTCGGCCATGTTGGCTGCGTGCAAGGCAAACGCCCTACCGCTGTGCTATCGCTCCAGGAATATCTAATTAGATATTCCTTAATTAATTCAGTAGTGTTTACTGAGGGCTGAAGAGATAGCACAGCGGAGAGGGCATTTGCCTTGCACGCGGCCGGCCCAGCCGACCAGGGTTCGATTCCTTCACCCCTCTAGGAGAGCCCGGCAAGCTACCAGAGTATCTTGCCTGCATGGCAAAGCCTGGCAAGCTACCTGTGACGTATCTGATATGCCAAACACAGTAACAACAAGTCTCACAATGGAGACGTTACTGGGCCCGCTCAGGCAAATCGATGATGAACAATGGGAGGACAGTGCTACAGTGCTACAGTGTTTATTGTACAAATCTTGTATCTCTTGAATAAAAATTTAAACATTTTTTGCTAAGCAGCTTTTAAAAAATGCTATTGTAAATGAAATTGTCTATTAATTTTCATTTCAGACTACTGCCCATGTATACAAATTTAACTGATTTTTGCTTGCATCCTGCAACTGAGCTAAGTTTATTGATCAGTATTATTGGTTGCGTGTGTGTATTTTTATTTGTTTTGTGTGTGTGTGGTACAGGGGATTAAACCTAGGACCTCACACATGCAAGGTTTATAGCTATCTCTCTGACCCACAGTGCAGTTTTTTTTTTGTTTTCATTTTTGTTTTAGGGTCACACCCAGCAATGCTCAGGAGACCATCTGGAGTGCAGGAATATAACCTTGACTGGCAGCATGCAAGGCAAGCACCCTACCTGCTATACTATCTCTTAGGCCCCAGAAGTCTTTTACTCTGAGCAGGATTTTTGTTCTTTCTCTTTTTTCGTCACACCCAGTGGTGTTCAGGGGTCACTTCTGGCAGTGCTTGGGGAACCGTGTGATGCTGGGGATCAAATCCAGGCCTCTTGCATGCAAAGTATGCACTCCAGCCCATTCAGCGCTCTCTCTCTCTCTCTCTCTCTCTCTCTCTCTCTGGCCCACCCTTTTAAGAATGCATTGAAGCAGCCACACCAACAGGTGCTGCAGGGGCCATGTGGTACCAGGGGCCAAACCCATGTACCACAACAGTTATGTTCCTGGGCCCTATTATATGGGTTTTTTTTTTCTTTTTTGGGTCACACCCAGTGATGCTCAGGAATTATTCCTGGCGGTGCTGGGGAGAACCATTTGGGATGGCAGGGATCAAACCCAGGTCGGTCACGTGCAAGGTAAACGCCCTACCCACTGTACTATCACTCTGGCCCCAATATGTTTTATATGTTATATATATTTTATATATGTTTTACATGTGAAAATGTTTTATATATGTTTTACATGTTTTTACAGGGCTGGAGCAATAGCACAGTGGGTAGGGCGTTTGCCTTGCATGCAGCTGACCTGGTCGACCCAGATTCGATTCCTCCGCCTCTCTCAGAGAGCCCGGCAAGCTACCAAGAGTATCCCGCCCACATGGCAAAGCCTGGCAAGCTACCCGTGACGTATTCGATATGCCAAACATAGTAATAACAAATCTCACAATGAGACGTTACTGGGCCCACTAGAGCAAATTGATGAACAATGGGAGGACAGTGCTACAGTGCTACATGTTGAATCATTCTTGAATTCTGGGGTAAATCTTAGGAAACAATGCCAATCTTCTCATTAAGCAATAGTTATTTTGATATACCACTTGCCAATATTTAATGTAATTATATATAATACATTACAATCTATTAAAATAATTATGATATTTTAATTTTTCAGTTTTCTATTTCATAAACATTGTTAGGTATTATGGTCAAAAACATTTGTGAGTCTCAATAATTTTGAGTGTAAAGGAATTCTGATATAAAAATCTTTTTGAGAACCATTATCCACAAAGATTTGCCATCACTAATTCTAAAACTTATAGTGCAGAAAATATATCTACAGAATATAAAATACTAGTTCTCCCAGGTGCTACTTCACCAAGTCTTCTGGGCTAGGTGAAGACGCAGAAGAGATAACTTATGGGAAGCCTCTAATATGTATTTGCAAAATCTTGGCTCCTGGCTTTAAAATTACCTGATGTTGTTGCCATATCTGATTTTGAATTTATAAACATTGGGTCCTGCATGAAGAAATCTTGTCTCTGGAAATGGGTAGGTAAAGGGTTTTAAACTCATTGTGTCCAAATGACAGCCTAAATAAAAGTAGAAATGTTAAAGAATTAGAAAAAATTAAAGATAGCTCTTTACATATGGAAAGAGAGCCTACCCCATCTTTAGTATTTCTGCATGAGTAAAATGTCAGACGCTCAGCACCACTGTTTACATACCAGGCTCAGTTCTGTTATTAAATCACCACCTGCACTATTCTACCTGCATAGGAAGTAGATATGTGTGTGGGGACAATCTCTACAAGCTTGAATTCAAGAGACATAAGTTCAAGATTTGTCATTTTCTTTATAACCTTGAACAAATAAATTTTCTTTTTTTTGAAACTAAAAACACGAACATCTGATGACTCATTGGACTTTTTATTATAATTATTTTCTTTGAATATACTACACTTGATCTTAGCCAAAAGGCCGAGAAGTGAGAGATAGCACAGTGGTAGGGCATTTGCCTTGCACGCGGCCAGCCTGGCCGAGCCTGGTTCGATTCCTCCACCCCTCTCGGAGAGCCCGGCAAGCTACCGAGAGTATCTTGCCCACACAGCAAAGCCTGGCAAGCTTCCCATGACGTATTCGATATGCCAAACACAGTAACAACAAGTCTCACAATGGAGACGTTACTGGGCCCGCTGGAGCAAATCGATGAACAACGGGAGGACAGTGCTTTGAATATTTCTTGAATCTATTCTTCTTCCTTTGCTCCATTTCTCTGGAACCTAGGACACTGTAAAGAAGGATCGAGTAAATTAATGAAACAATCCAAAGGATTCATCAATAAATGGCACAATTAGGGATAACTCTGCTATTAACTTCAAATGAAGTTAAGAAACTAGTATACCATCCAGCCACAGTCAACACAGTAAATAATGACGTGTACTAATTAATGCTTCCCAGTCATGCTAATAAATGCCTTATATTCTCCACTTCTCAACCATCGCTTGCCATCTACAACTGACCCATGATCCAAGAGCGCCTACTACGCTAGCACATAATCTTACTTTTCCTGTTCCAAAATCTCTACTCTCTATGGAAAGCTCACAAAAACATAGAGATGGCGGGGCCAGAGCGATAGTCCAGTGGGGAGGGCCTTTGCCTTGCATGTGGCCAACCTGGGTTCGATCCCTGGCATCCCATATGGTCCCCCATGCACCGCCAGGAGTGATTCCTGAGTAAAGAGCCAGGAGTAACCCCTGAGCATCATTGGGTGAGACACCCCTCCCCCCCAAAAAAAAAGCATAGAGATGGAACAAAGAGGATGACATATCTCTTCTCTTCCAAGATGGCATTTGGTATGCCTTCATAAGTAGGAACCAAGCACACTGTGGTTTTCTAAGTCACTAGGACTTTTCTGTGCCTATATTTATAAAGTAGTAATAAAAAACTTTGTACTTTCTGCCTAGCCATATAGAATTTTAAATAATAAATAAGTGGGAGTAAGAGATCCAGAGTTCCTGAGTATCAAATGCTACTAATATAAAATGTAAGATATTGATTTAAGAGACATCTAAGATGAAATGGACAGAACAGACATAAAATCAGAATAATTTAGGTTTAAATCTCAGCTTCAAGTCCCTATACTTAATTTCTTTGGTCTTCTGTTTCCTTATTTACACAATAACACAAATAGCTAAATTTTTGTCATGCCCTATTCTAAGAGCCTTATAAATCATCTCAATTAATCCTCACAGCAAATCTATAAGTAGTATAAATTTGATAGATTAAAAAACTGAGGCACTGTGAAATTAGTCTTCCTTTGGCTATCTATAAATGTTAAAACTAGGGATTCAAACTGAGGGTTGCATATTCAGACTGGATGCTCTTAACTATTTTTCTGCTATCCTTCCTGGAGTTACTAGGACGAAAAAACAAGATAATGCGTATAAAATTATTTTGTAACTAGCAAAATATTATACACGATAAAGGGCACTTTCATTATTTTTTTCTCTATATTACCTTGACCTGCAAGCAAAACTTGCGGACGGTGGAGTCAAAAGAGCTCTGTACCCAGAGGGTGGAATTTCCCACAGTTTTCAAAGTTCAAATCTGGGGCTGCCAGTAAAGAGATATCCCAGTGTCTGATCTTGGCTGGTTGGGATTAAAATGACGGGAGGCTGGAGCCAGAGCCCTGGAGACTATTTAGACTAGAATTTTAGTCAAAAGCAAAAAAGGAGTAGTTGGTGCCAACTGCAAAGTTACCAGAGAGGAAATACTGTTCATATCCTGAGAAAAAAAACTTGCTGATTCCTCATGCTGAAGGCCTGCCAGAAACTTAGGCTTGATTTGACAGGTGGGGTGGGTTTGATACTTGATGGTTTTTCAAAGTAGGCAAAGAGCTGACATGCTGAGACTTAGGTCGTTGCCACAAAAATTTAACTCTCAATTCTTCAGTAGGTTCTCTTAAAGCATAGCCACCTCTCCCACAGACTGAGGGCACCAGGGCAAAGGAAACGAAGGACACTTGCTGGAAATGACAAACCAGAGAGGAAACGTCGTGTGCTGTGCCACAGATGTCTGTCTGAAAGAAGTAAAAACAACCCTCTTCTAGTTGGGGCCTGTTAATTGCTGGCTGCCTGCTTCTGAAACAAACACCACACACTCATTACCTCATTTGAAAATAAAGATTAGACAGCATAATCCCAAACAACCACATGGTAGTAGTGGTTCAAAGATTTCACAAGGTTATTTTCCAACATGACGACTGCAGTCATGGTGACAGCGTGTCTCAGTAACTATGATTAAGTTCATAAGAGCTTTCAGATGAAAGGTCAGGCTCTCAACCCATTTTTTAGGTGATCACAAAACATGATGGCTTTAAAACAAAAGAAAAAAGAGATGGAGAGATAATACAGGGGTTAAGGCACTTGCCTTGGAGCTAACCAACCCCAGTTTAAACCCGGCACCAATAATAGTCCCTGAGCACTGTCAGGAGTCACTCATGAGCACAGAGCCAGAAATAGCCCCAGAACACCACTGAATGTGGCTCCAAGCCCCTCCCAATAAGTCTAAAAGAAGAAAAGTTATAGGGAATGAGAAAGATTTGAGTTGGAATTGTCCTCACTCTGCCTCTTAATAGTCATTAGACCTTGAACAATTCATTTGGCCTCCTCCTGTCTCAGTTTCTACATTTACGAAGATTTTACCAGCTCCTAGAATTGTTATGGAGATTAAATAAAATAAAGCTATAAATAGCACTTTGTTAACTCTAGAATATTATATAAACATTACTTGATAGATTTGAAAAATTTCACAGTGTTCCTCTAAAAAAGTAAAGTTTCTTTTTTTTTTTTTGGCTTTTGGGTCACGCCCGGAGATGTTCAGGGGTTATTCCTTGCTCTGGACTCAGAAATTTTCCTGGCTGTGCTTGGGGGACCATATGGGACGCCAGGGATCAAACCCGGATGGGCCATGTTGCAGGGCAACCGCCCTCCCTGCTGTACTATCGCTCCGGCCCCTAAAAAAAGAGAATCTGAAAGAAAATTGATTAGCTTTAATCAGTGCAAAATTTGACAAATCCAGGACTGGAGAGACGGTACAGTAAGTAAGGTTCTTGCCTTGTACATGGCCCATATGGTCCTGAGTCCTGTCAAGAGTTCCCTGAATTCAGAGCCAGAAGTAAGCCTCAATGCTATGCATAGTCCCCAAACAAAAAACTACAAAAAAAAAAAAGACAAAGTCCAGTCCAATATATTTTTAAAAAATTCCCAATAATTAGGGAGAAAAGGGGAGGGAGGGAGAGAGAGAGAAGAAAGTAGGTATGGAGACACAGAGAGAGAGAGAGAGAGAGAGAGAGAGAGAGAGAGAGAGAGAGAGAGCGCTCGAGGGGCTGGAGTACTAGCTTTGCATTTAGGAGGCCATGGTTCAATTTCCAGTATTTGGTCCCCAAAGCATTGTCAGGAGCAAACTTCAAAGCAATGAGCCAGGAGCAGCCCCTGAGCACCAAAAACCAATCAAAGATTGCCAACAGTTAGGTTTAAAAGGACAAGAGGCACAAAGAGACTTTTCCAAGGTTTTCAGTAACTTATTCACATAAAGAAACATCTGCGGGGCTGGAGCAATAGCACGGCAGGTAGGGCGTTTGCCTTGCACATGGCCGACCTGGGTTTGATTCCCAGCATCCTATATGGTCCCCTGAACACGCCAGGAGTAACTCCTGCGTGCAGAGCCAGGAGGAACCCCTGTGCATCGCCACTAGGTGTGACCCAAAAAGAAAAAAAAAGCATCTGGGTCAGTGCACAGAACCTGAATCAAGGTTCAGAGTTATAACAGGGTAATGATATTGACTACTGAGGTAGAAGGAGATAAAGAAGTGCTACCACTAAATATACCCAATAATATTTGATGGGAAAATCCTCTACATCTCTACACAAAAAAAGAAGAGAAGCTTTCATAAACGTTTACTCAAAATGCATTTGCTGAGCAGATCCAACATGACAACTTTGTAGCTACTGCGTATGGGTCACAAAACAGGGAAGTCCCACACTTGCTCTGAATCTGACATCTGTTGTAGAAGAGCCCTTTGTTTTAGAGAGGACAAAAGGGAAGTGACTTCATTCACAAAAGAAAAAAAAAGGAGCAGCAGGGCTGTAGTTAGGATGCTTGTTTGCAAGCAGCTGACCTGGATTCAATCCCTAGCATCCCATATGGTACCCCAAACCATGTCAGGAATGGTCCCTGAGCACAGGGCCAGGAGTAATTCCTGAGTACCATTGGGTATGACCCCCGCAAAAAAAACCCAGACTTCTACAGGATCACAAAATTTGGTGTAAAACCAGGATAAAGCACCCCTTTCCCCCCACCCTCCTGGGCACAAGATGGCTGATTCTTTTACTTATCCATTTTTCCAATACCACGTGTCACACAGTCATTTTATTAAACTGTAACCTTAGTAACTCTTTTTTGTTTTTACTTTTGTGCCATACCAGGCTGTGCTCAGTGATCACTCCTGGCGGGGTTCCATGGGACTGTATGGGGTGCCAGGATTGAACCTAGGTTGGCTGCATACAAGGCACC